CGTACAAAGTGAAATCTAAAGAGGTGCCAGGCAGAGCCAAGTCAGAGAGAGATTGCCCTATGTTTAGATTAATATATTACTATAAGCTGTTTATTTGTGGAACCTTGTTCTCTCTTTTTGTGTCTGCTGCTCTGAACCTCTCCAGTACACAGTAAATACACATTTATTAGGTGAGGCGTTTTACATTCTCTCCATATCAACTTAATTGACACAGATCATAAAGCGGCTCAGGGCATTTAAAAGAGGAGGACATATAAAGCGTAAGGTTGGTTGGATTTCATTACGTTAGTCACTCCTATTTCCTTGTATATTCTTTTTTTTTTTTTTATGGTTAGATATGTATACAGCATGTGCACAGTGCTTTGCAGATGTGAGATGCAGACCTTGCTCAAGAGTTTACTGTCTAAAGGCCCACACCTGGAACAGTTAGTGATGGATGCTAAATCTGTGTTTGGGATTAAAAGATTTGTGAATAACTCCTGTGTAGGGTTGGGCCTACAGCTGGTTGGGAATTTTTTTTGATGAAACAGCTTTTCATCAGAAAATGCCAGCTCATAGAAAATGAGACTTTTTGCAGGAAAGAGTCTGTTTTGTTGAAGCTTTCATCTGGAAGGTTTCTCGGATCCAGGGTGGAATTTTTGGTCAGAGAGAGAGACAGAGACCCCAGAAAACCAATAGCTAAGTGTTAAGGCACTCACCTGGGATGTGGGGAATCCAAGGTCGGGTCTCTACTCTGCCTTATTCAGAGGAGGGACTTGAACCAGCTGCAGAGGGGCACCAAGAAGGCTACATCTGTAGTGGCTTTGGCCACAACAGCATCCCTGCCGCCCAGAGAAGGTGGACCGAGAGGTTTTGTTCTCCTGCCTCATAAGGTAAGAACAAGGGTTTGGACATATTCAGTATACTACGTCAGACTTTATGTCAGTTACCTTTATCAACCAAATTTGTAATCTCATTAAAAAAACAATATCATGTTTGTCTGACAAGACTTATTTTCCATAAAACCATGCTGATTGGTATTAATTATGGGACCATCCTCTTAATTCTTTACTGATTGCATCCCTTATCAGCCTTTCCATGATTTTATCCAGGATTGATATTAGGCTAACCAGTGTAAAGAAACCCATGTTGTCCCATTTAACCTTAAAAAGAACAGGAGTACTTGTGGCACCTTAGAGACTAACAAATTTATTAGAGCATAAGCTTTCGTGGGCTACAACCCACTTCTTCGGATGCATATAGAGTGAAACATTGAGGAGATATATATACACACATACAGAGAGCATGAACAGGTGGGAGTTGTCTTACCAACTCTGAGAGGCCAATTAAGTAAGAGAAAAAAAACTTTTGAAGTGATAATCAAGATAGCCCAGTACAGACAGTTTGATAAGAAGCAAGTGTGAGAGTACTTACAAGGGGAGATAGATTCAATGTTTGTAATGGCTCAGCCATTTCCAATCCCTGTTTAACCCTGAGTTGATTGTATCTAGTTTGCATATCAATTCCAGCTCAGCAGTCTCTCGTTGGAGTCTGTTTTTGAAGTTTTTCTGTTTTAAGATAGCCACCCGCAGGTCTGTCATAGAATGGCCAGACAGGTTAAAGTGTTCTCCCACTGGTTTTTGAGTATTATGATTCCTGATGTCAGATTTGTGTCCATTAATTCTTTTGCGTAGAGACTGTCCGGTTTGGCCAATGTACATGGCAGAGGGGCATTGCTGGCACATGATGGCATATATCACATTGGTAGATGTGCAGGTGAACGAGCCCCTGATGGTATGGCTGATGTGATTAGGCCCTATGATGGTGTCACTTGAATAGATATGTGGACAGAGTTGGCATCGGGCTTTGTTACAAGGATAGGTTCCAGGGTCAGTGTTTTTGTTCAGTGATGTGTGGTTGCTGGTGAGTATTTGCTTTAGGTTGGGGGGTTGTCTGTAAGCGAGGACAGGTCTGTCTCCCAAGATCTGTAAGCGAGAGTGGCATGGCTGATTCCAGCTCTATTAGCATTGGAACCTGTAAGCTGATGAAAGAGGTGCAGAGAGCCAAAGTGCAAGTATTTGCTCAGCCTTTGTGCAGAGAGGTCATCACATAGTGTGAAGAAATATGCACAGTGCTCAGCATTTCTGCCTGAACTGTGAGCACTGCTGTGTAGGGAGAAGTGGATGTGTGATAGGACAGGGCTGAGCATAGGGGCTTAAGTGCTTTCCAAGAAATGTAAATGATATGGGCAAGAGCCATTTTTAGGAGTGTCCATTAATCCTACTGCCAATCAGATGCAGTGTCTTATTCAAATAACCTTCAGGTACCGGATACCAAGGTGATGAGTGTAATGTAGATCGATGAGCTCCTTGAAGGAGAAATTAATAACTGAGGCAACCCTGGGGTCCAGACATAGAAATACTTCTGAAGGTTCCCAAGGATGGCAGAGCCTGCCCAAAAGTGTGTGGGGGGGCAGGGTCCAAGCGCCCCATCTCTTCCGCCCAAGGCCCCGCCCATGGCCAAGCTGCAAGCTGGGGGGCGGGGGTGTCAAGAGCAGCCCCTGGACCGTGTCCTCACCCTACGGGCCCCCTGCCCAGGGCAAGTGGAGGTTCCACAGCGCGGCTCCCCACTGCTGCCTGCGCGGCTCTTACCATGGACGGGCTGCGGGCACCCCAGCCAGAGCCGGGACCAGGTAAGAGCCACGGGCAGCTGTGGGGAGCTGTGGCTCCTCCTTTTCTGGGCAGGGGGAGGAGTCAGAGACATTGCCTGGCTGGGGGAGGGCTCAGAGGGAAGAGGAAGGGTGGAGCACCTGCCGAACCAGGCCCATCCACTTTCAAAAAGTGGGAGGGCC